AGGTGCGACTGTCGCAATCGCACCTGGTCGAGCTGGGTCAATTTTGCCACGCAGCCACCCAGCCACTCAGCCAGTGGGAAGCAACCCAGCCGCTCAGAAGCCACTCAACCACCAGAAAGCCACTCAACCACCAGGAAGTCACTCAGCCAAGTAGAGCCAGCCACTTAGCCTCCACCGGGAAGCCACTTAGCCACTTAGCTACTTAGCCTCTTAGCTTCTCAGCCACTTAGCCACTCAGCCACTCAACCAACTCAACCACCAGGAAGCCACTCAACCACCAGGAAGCCACTCAGCCACTTAGAGCCAGCCACTTAACCTCCACAGTTAGAACAGATTTTGCCAGTCTTTCAACCGTATACTAAATCACCGTTGTGTGTGTGTACTAGTTGGCATTGTCAGCATCAACTCCAGTTCTTGGTGCGCGATGCAATGTAATGAAACAACCATTTAATTTAGAAGCAAATTTAACAATGTTCATATTAATTTTGTTTCCTGCTGCGTTGAATGATTGTGTCATAGTGTGATACATTGGAAATATGAATTTCAAACTTTGACCTTCTAACAAATGTTTCACTATACTATTATTGACCGTGTTGTCCACTTATAGTACATGTATAATTAGGTTATTTTAATTCCCACCTGGTGCTGGTGTCTCCAGTTGTGAAACAAAAACCAGACGCATCATTTTGAGTGGTTGCATCAGTCACACAAAAAGGCGTAACTACTGGTGAATGTTCATCTGATACAATTGTAAATTCCAGTTCAAGTGGTGCATAACGAAGAGGCAAGTAATACTTGCTTTCTGACAGTCTGCATACTGGTTTATGTCCTAATCTCATATAACCACTAGCGCCGGGAATTCCTGCAACTGAATGGCGGGTAAATTGTGCTGTTAACTTGCTCCAACTGGTATGGTCTGGTATGGTTGGAAATGCAACTGCTGCGGGGTCAGCAGCGGGATTTGTTCGTTTATTAACATCTAACATTTCTGCTAAACCAGTGGCATAAGTATGTCGCCAGTCATCATCCCAACGAGGATTAGCACTACTTTCTAAATCATCCATATCTCTAGCATCTTGACTCTTGAAGGAATTATATAACTCGCAGTGTCTATTGTATTCAATTAATATCTTGCACTTGTTGCCCGCCTACAGTGCATCTATAACGACTAAAGAAGGATGATAAAATTACCTAACGGTCGTGAAAAATGACTTCGTGTTCCGTCAGTGTTTTGAATATTGGCAAATAACCTAAGAGAAGATAAATCAACATATGTGGTGTCTTCTCCTGAAATATGAAATCTAATATTGTTGTTTCCTGCATTTGGATTATAAATATTGCTACCCGATGGAAAACAATTAACGTGTCTTCTGTCCGTGATATATTGTGCTGTTTCAGCGAGTCCAACATTTAATGAGGTAGTCATTGTAGGTTCACTTTCTGCAATTATACTATCATTACTTGTATATGATGATATAGATTTTATTTTTCATTGCTTTATACGTTTCTTATGTGGAAGCATTGAAGTAGAATTATTGAAGTTGTATTTGCTATAGTATTCCTTAAATAGTTAGTTTTTGTACCAACTATATCTTTTCTAGTATGATGATCTAAATGTTTATATGGTTTATCGTGTTTTGTAGGTTCTTTTGTCAGCTTCTTCTCTAATGGGATTTTGCTTTGTTTGTCTTGATTTGTATACATTAATAGTCAAAACCATTAGAAATATCAGTAGTAGGATAAATTTCAGTCATACCTTGCCCTTTCCAATTTTGATAACCGTGGTTTTCTAGCACATCTAATGAACCAATGTCAGCAGTAATCGCGGCATCATCTAATATTGCTATAAATTCCTTTTTATCCTTAAATCGTAAGTATCGCGGATTTTTCTGTTGACTAATTCCTGATACAAAAGGTGATGATTACACAGTAGTAGCATATTTGTTTTCGTGTCTGTTGTTTATTTCTTGAACAACGGATGAGCCGAGGCTGTGACCATTGCGTCCTTATATCTTTCGCTTAATTGAACATTATTAGTAGGAATGAAAAACACATCTGCAATGACATCGTTGGCTTTGTGATTTAGTCCCGTTTTAGCACCAATGCCAAAAATAAAGTGTGTCCTATTCGTGTTGTTCCATTCACACTTGGAATACGCGGCGTCTACTCCCTTGACATCATCAATGTTGTTTTCATTTTGGACGTTGATTTCTTCAACATAGCTTGTTTTACACTTCATTATTTGCCTATCAAAATGTTTATTGAAACCTCCTATTTTGTCTTGAAACCTGCTATTTTGTCTTCCAATTTGTTTTTTTATGATGAAATACATCCTCTAATAAATCTTTACCTGCCGTGTACGCCGTATCACTTGCTACACCTGCCATTGTTTGTGTAGGCGTCCTGCCTTCTATAGCACGTAATAATATCTGTCGTCCTATCATATAACAATAACTATAATACTTTTTTTATGTTTTATATTATATTTATGAGTGGTAGAGTAACATATTCAAATATATATATATATATATGTATTGATAGTGCTTACAGATTACAATAAAGTAACTCTACCAGCGACTTTATTATAGAACCTGAACAAAATGAAAGTCCACCCAGAACAAACATGTTCGTGACGGAGTGTTCCTTCAGCACTCCACAGAGAAAGGGTTTTGTGAAAGGTTCTATATTATGTCATATAGTAGTTCCAATGTTTCATTAAGAAGCACAGCCGCTGATATATCCGGTGAAAGTTATTGCGCCAACCAATTATCATTCAAAATACAATCAGAGTTAAACGAAGCATTTAGACTAAATTGTGCCGGACGAGCGAGATTTACTAACGCCGTTCAGTTTATAGATACCGACAAAGCCGTAAGTCTTAATAATGGTTCATTTTTCAATGTTCATAATAATGGTTCAATACGAAGATATACACCCGATGCTATCTACCATTGTTTGGTCAATAGTTATCCAGAATGGATATGGACGGCAATTACCAAAGCAAGATATTTAAACAAAGTCATGTTTTAATATATATAAAAGATAGTGATGATGTATTTAATCAAGAATATATTTTAAGTTATGTTGAAAGAAAAGTATTAATTACAAACAGATAGGGAAACCGCAAAACAAAATATACCTAAAGAAGGTTATGTAAATACTCAATGGTTTTTAGACAATATAAAAAAATGTAATTACTATGGGTGCGATTTTGCTATTGATATGAAAAATAGTAATATCACAACAAACCTAACAGCACAACGCAAGGATAATGAATACACGCATACATTAGATAATATCATACCATTTTGTAAGCAGTGCAATTGTAGTAGTAAATGATGAATGGGTAGACTATATTATATATTCTATCTATCTAACCTTGCCCGTCTTTCCGCCGTAGATATTCCCCCAAGACTTCCGGCTGAATTTGGATACTACGAGGAGGCCTTTAGCATCACCTCAAAACCATTACAGCATTGATTTCTGCTGTTTACATTCCTTTCTTGGAATTCTTGGGTCCGGAAAGGAGAGACCTCATTTGCCGAAGAACGCAGAATAGGCCAGACCGTAACTTGGGTCCCTACAGTAAAGTGCTGTGTTTTCTGGAGATTCTTTTTGATGGGGCACGGCCAGGTGCGACTGTCGCAATCGCACCTGGTCGAGCTGGGTCAATTTTGCCCACGCAGCCACCCAGCCACTCAGCCAGTGGGAAGCAACCCAGCCGCTCAGAAGCCACTCAACCACCAGAAAGCCACTCAACCACCAGGAAGTCACTCAGCCAAGTAGAGCCAGCCACTTAGCCTCCACCGGGAAGCCACTTAGCCACTTAGCTACTTAGCCTCTTAGCTTCTCAGCCACTTAGCCACTCAGCCACTCAACCAACTCAACCACCAGGAAGCCACTCAACCACCAGGAAGCCACTCAGCCACTTAGAGCCAGCCACTTAACCTCCACCGGGAAGCCACTTAGCCACTTAGCCACTTAGCTTCTCAGCCGGACGCCACTTAGCCACTTAGCCACTCAGCCACCGGGAAGCCACTTAGCCACTTAGCCACTCTTAAGAGTGGCTAAGTGGCTAAGTGGCTTCCTTTCAGATCTACCGTGCGCGCGCGCTCAATCTAAAAAGCGGTCCTATAAACTTGCTTTCGCGGACCCTTTCGCGATGCTTTCGCGACCCCATGTTTTGCTTTCGCGGGCTTTGGTTTCTTTAGAATTGCTTTCGCGACGCTTCCGCGGAGGACCGTCACACAGCATGCAGGCTTTCGCGGGTCTTTCGCGGCGGGACCTTCTTTGGTTACTTTCGCGATAAGCTTTCGCAAGCTTTCGCGGCCTGCGTTTTGGCTTTCGCGGGGATTCTATAGGACACCCCCCTTTACTACTTTGTATTGTCAGGGTTTTTGGCGCTGCTCAAATGGATCAACCCGGAGTAGAGGTGGTGGTCTCCCAAGAGCAAAACATGTCCCTCGGAATTGCCCCCCCCCCCCCCCACCAACCCCGATTTCACCTCAGGAACCGACCGGCCACCCATCAATTGTCAGCTCGTCTTCCCCCCGGACACCACTCAACTTTGCAGATTCCAATCATTGAAAGGATCAACAGCCTGAAGGTTGCAAGCTAAACCCGAAGCATCTGTGGTCGCTGTTGACCCCTCCGCAAAAAGTTTAGCTTTTCGTGCGTTGAATTGGGAAAAGTGTCTAAAGATGCGGTACCCAATTCATAGCAATCAAGTGTCCGTCAAACCTCTCCCCCGCAAAGCCAATGCATGATCATTATTACAGACGCCAAACAAATTACAGAATCCATACCCCCAAAAGTTGCAACTAAAATCTCCGAACTGTCCCTCAAACCCCTTCCCTTTCTTCCCCCCCTCTTTGCAACCAAAACAAACCAAAACAAACCAAAACAAACCAACACAAACCAACACAAACCACACACACCCAGCCGCTTCAGCCGCTTCGGGGGGTGTCTCCCACCGCTTCCGGCCGCTTCACCGCAGCCGCCTCCAGGCAGGAGCCCCGCTCCAGGCCGGTGACCCGCTGCTGCGCCAGGCCCACCAGCTGCGCCCGGAGCTCCGGCAGCTCCTCGCGTTGGGTTTGGGGCGCAGGGGGGTGGGGGGGTGGGGGGGGGTTGGGGGTGAGGGGGCGGTTGGGGGGGTTGAAGAGGGTTGGACTTGCTTCCTGGGCGGCCTGGCCACCCAACTCCTTTTTGAGTTTGCCACTCAATTGGTCCAAACCCGAAATTGTGACGAAAGTCCATGAACTCAGGGAGTGAGGTGGGGGCCGTTGGTTGGCAGCTCACGTCAAAACGCGGATGCTTGGCCGAAATGAAATGGGATGAAATGGGCTGGAGCCCTTGTTCTGGCCGAAATGGGCCTTGGCAGATTCGTGGACGACCGCGCGCCAGCGGAGCAAAGAGGAAGCACGAATACCTAGAGGCCCTTAAAGAATGGGGTCATTACCCAAAATAAGGGGGTCATTGACCCATTCTTAAAGGGTCATGGAGACCCTAGGTAGCCCACAAAGAGACTGTTGCGGTTGGCACCCATGGCATGGGCGCTGGCCCTGGCTTGCTGCATTGTGGATCCTCTGGCGGAAAAAAATCGGCTAGGGCGAATTACACGCAATGGTAAATCGATCCAACAAAGCCGTACCTGGAGTCGCCATGACCCTTAAAAGATGGGTCGATGACCCCATTTTTTCGGGTAATGACCCATTTTTTTAAGGGCCATATGGAGACTCCAGGTACGCTCAAAATGCGCAATGAGTTCCGAAAAGGGCCGCCATGACGGTGTATTGCGTTTGCCCAGGTGGAGCCAGGCCCAGCCCTGAAGCAAAGAACGCACAGATCACCACCAGCAACAAGAACAAGAACTATAAGAACAGAGAAGCAAGTAGACACGGTAAACAAATAGGGAAGACAACGCAGAAGAAAGAAAGCGAAGGAGAAGAAGAGGGAGAAGGCAAATTACATACTCCAGAAAAAAGGAAGACACAAAGACAAGGAATGATGAGACCATGACAAGACGGAGACAAAGAAGAATCAACCAAAGAAAACACATCAAGAAGAAGAGGAGGCCCACTCCAACCCCACCCCCACCCCAACCCGTCCCACCCCACCCACCCCCACCCCTCCCCCCCCACCGCGGGACTGTGGGAGGCTGAAGTTGATCATTCACCTCATGAAATCCAGTCGGAAAGTGCATCTACCATTTGGGGAGGGTGCGGCTGAACATGTGTGAAAAGCTGGCATGTGGGAAGCTGGTGGTGCTGCAATGATGGTCGTCGCACCTCTTCTTGCACTTCTTTTTCTCACTGATGCATGTCACTCACGCTTTTTTGAGGAGGGTGAGACGCCAGCCGTAGTCGCGGTCTGTGGCACGTCCGCGGCTGTCTGCTATCTCCTTTCCTTAGCCGAAAACCAAATGCAAAAAACGGTCGGCAGAGAGAGGCAGGTGGGGGGCTCTGCACAGTACGATTTCCATAGTCACAAGTCACATCTGATGCGCCAGTGAGCGCGTTAAGCGTGTTAAAGCCCGCACAAAGAGCAGGAAACAAATGAAGGCGTTGTCAAAGCAGCCTGCCGGACCTAGGGATGAAGGAGGTGCAAAGGGACAAGTTGCACTAATCCGCTGGAGTGCAGCCCTACATGCGTGATACTTGCGAGGCCCTACCCTGATTCTGAATAGCCGCTCTAGAGTCCACATCAAGCCGTCCTCAAAAGCGGTCATTTTAAAACCGACAGATGACCTGCCTGCACGGTGCTTCTAAATTGTGCGGCGCAGTAGTTTGAGAAACAATGCCTTTGCCCAACTTAAGTTGCAGAAGCCATAAGGCAGCTGCCATCTTGACAAGCTGGATATCGTACGATGCTCCGGCGAAATCTCATCCGCATGTCCTGCCACCAAACGTTCCATCACTGCAAACAACTCCTGGCTTCACAGGTTTGCATCAAATTGATCAATGGCCAAGATTGGTTGGTATTGGCTTTTGCCAGTGTGGACAGGGCCATGTGGCGATCTGCCAACCGCGGTGGCCTTTGTGAGCATGGTCCTTTCAGCAGGGAAAACCCCCCCCAAAAAAAGAAACGAGAGGACTCCAATGGTATCCCTTGGGCTTCCTTTGATCTCGCTTGCCTGTCGCCTCAACCCCCTGCAAGGCTTGCTCTGGGAGCATTGGAAAGGGGTCTCAAACCTCACCCCAAACTATTGCAACGCTGCTTCACCTACATGGATTTCGCTCAGGTAATTATTTTTCCTGCTGGTTCTCAGCAGGGACTGAGGGAATGGCCCCTATGAACAATCCATTTCTTGTGGTTTTCTTTCAAGGGACTTTTTGGGTTCATTCCCGACACCCGGAAGGTCACCCCCTACCAATCGCACCAGCAAGCTGTCCTAGCCACGAGCCCATGGACGATCGCCACACCCATAGGTGGCCTGTTGCTGAAAAATAGATGGGGGAAACCCTGGTAACATGGAATAAAACAGCCATCTAAACCGGTGGAACCCATCTATTTCTATGCAAACTAACCCAAAAAAGGACACCTATGACCACACCCCGGTCCACCTTAGGCCAAGCCGCGCGCCGGGCGCCGCGCCCGCGCCCCTTGGCCGTCGCGGGTCCCCCCGCCGGAGCCGCCGGGAGCGGCGCGGGCGCCGGAACCGACGCGGCCGGCATCGCCTCGGAGAAGCTCCGCGGGACAGTCTGGGGTCGTTAGTTTGACGGTTGCTGGGGAAACCAGTGGAACCCATCTATTTGTAGCCAAACTCGCTTAAAAAGGACACCTATGCAGACAAGCAGGGATCCTTACATTAGAAACACCTGAACATTGCAACTTGTAAACTACATTATACACCGATCGAACATTGCAACTTGTACATGCTGGTTTCCAACTTTAATTTAGTGTTGAAAAAGCAATATGTTTCAAATGGGCAAGATGTATCTTTTAAGGAGCCCTGATAAATGGGGTTGTTTCCCTTTAACCCACCACTTAGGGGGTGACCTTGATCATGGTGAAATGATGAGGCCGGGGACATGCGCCATGCTCTTGAAAAGCTGTGCGTTCCCCTTCCCCTGGCCCTGAATGATTGCTCATGTGAAAGCCAGCACCTCTGATTGTCCTTAAGCATCAAGGCGTCGGCAGGCTGCAATGCGTAGCAGCGTGGGAAACCGTTGATAGGTTTCCAACTTCCGCTGCAAACGCAGCCGCCTGACTCACTGCAAGCGGAGTGGGGCACCCTCTAAAACATGTGGCTTTTTAAGATCTCTCCTGATAGTTTAGAGTGTAGGACAGGGCTGCTGATAATTACTGCTGCTCTGGCTGGCCGCAAAGGAAGCATGAGCTGGGGACCCCCCAATACAACCGTGCTACGCCAAATGGCAGAGGGCAGAGGTAAATGACCTCTACCTGTAGCAGTTCAGCGCTCTCACCCCTGCGCGCAGCAGTCAGTTTGCAGCGGGCACAATCAACTCAATTATATGTATACATATGTTTATATTTATATTTGTCTGCTCATAGAGGGATACATATAAAAGTATTTATGTGTGTGTGATACGAATTGGGAGACCGTAATCAGGAAAGCACCCCTGTCCGCCAATAATTGAAACGTACAGGATTTGGCAAGACTACCATCATCCCACGAAGACCCCAGGGCCCAAGGAGGGTAGCAGGCACGTTTTTGGCCATCCGAACCTCTTGTCACAATCGATCTCTTTGGGCCATCCAAACAAGCGGAACTCCAAAGGGGTCAAACTTAAAACCCGAGCTGCACTTCCCATGAGCTATCCTCTCATGAGCTTCGACTTTGGGGCCCTTCCCTGCGCGCATTTTTCGCAGCCCCAAGAAAGGTCTCCGTGCCAGATCCGGACTAGCATCCCTGAATGGGGCTTGCTGCACAACTAGCTTCTGCCAACTTCATGTTTCCGAGACTTGGTTGTGTCTCAAGTCCTGAGGTCCTAAGGTGCCTTTTGGGGGATGGTTACCACGCCACCGTTGTCTTTTTAGAATGCTTTCTGGGTGTTCACCGGGGCACCGGGCTTTTGACCCATAGCCACCACCACACCGAGGCATGAAACCCCCCTCTTGTCTCCCCCAAGCCAAGCAGCCCGGGGCTCCGGCTCCTCACAGAAGGAAAGCAAGCAACACAAGTTTCGAATGCGTGGAAATTCGTTTCTGGGCTGCCCGTTTTCGTATTCCCCGCTAAAAGTTTAACTTTTAGTGGGTTAAAAACTACCACTAAGCGCGAAAAGGCTAAAAGGCTAAGGGGATGGCTGGGAGCCACCAAGGTTAGACTGCCCAGTTGAGCGTTGTGCGAGCATGATCAGGCCCTCTTTTGTTATGTATAAAAGCCCAGCGCAGTTCGGAAGATAACCTGATTCCAGGACAGAACTGCTAGTCAAAAGTGAGGTCAATTTACCATGGCGTGGGAAATGCCCAGCATCTACATGTCGAATGGGAATGGCAAGGCAAGAAGGAAGGCTGCTAAAGGGAGGGTCGTTGCAAGAACATTCCACGACCCATTGGTATGGGCCCGCAATCCTCCCTTCAGCACATACCCTGTACATATCCAGTACATGTGTCAGTCTACATGCGACCCCTTTTGAATACAAGGCCCACAAAAGGCCACAGGCCCCCACGGATGGCCCATGCAATCTTCCCTGCCCTCCTGACAGAATCATATGGACGCACAGCAGAACACAAGAGGGGGGTTGAATAACTGGCCTGTTCTGAAGCGTTGTCAAACGAGAGTAGGATCTGCCTGAATCTAGCGATGACCTCGTTTGCATCTGGCATGGCCCCTGAAGAAAGTGACAACACTCAAGCATTGCTGATTACTGGATGTAGACACAACGCGTTCGATCACTCCCCCAACAAGGACCAAAACCCAGTAGAGAAACAAGTGTCATGTCCAACCCGGGTTGTCAAAACATGGAACCTTGAAGAAGAATGTGTCCATATCTGAACCGCATGCAACAAGACTGCCGGGAATGTTACTGCCGCTCACTTCCAGTCTCGGCGCGTTGGATGCGCAGCATGGCGTTTGTTCATAGCAAGATTGTCCTGACTGCCCTTCAAGTCAGGCGGC